CCAACATTCACATCATAGGGATACCATAAGGCGAAGAGAGAAAACAAAGGATTAAGAACCTATTTGAGGAGAGATGGAGAAAAAATGGCGGCGGTGAGGAGGGCTCCCTGAGTTCTCCCCTGCAAAGCACAGCAATTTGAGCAGCTGGAGCGCAGCAAACAAACCTCTACCAAGCATGCTGAGCAGCGAAGGGACTCCCACGCCGAGTACTTAAAGGTGGGCAGACCAGGCGAGTGGGGGAAGAGGGAGGCGAGGTGCGTGGAGGCACAGCCCGCATCCGCAGCTGCTGAGACTCGGGGTCTTAGAGAGCAGATTGGGGAGTTCCTGCGGCTCGCTCCCTACTCCTCCAGCCCGTGCCAAGGCAGAATCCTCAGGCCTGGCGCAAAGCAGAATGGAGAAAGGAGGGAGTGAGCGGAGGCACAGTCTGTCTGCGCCCGCAGCTGCGGAGCTGTGGGAATCCAGGACAAGGCAGAGTCTTTTGCAGCATCTGGAAGGGCTCAGCCTCTGATGCTGACAGTCCCCACCGGGAGTCTGACAGGAGCCCCAGGGCGCACAATTCCTGAGGCGGAAATCTCAAACCGGCAAGCAGGAGAAGAGGGAAGCGAGAAGCGTGGAGATGCAGCCCACACCCCACAGCTGTGGAGACACGAGCTACTTTGCCCCTGGAGTGAAGCAGGGGCTCTGCGGGAGCATCGGAGGGGGCTTTTTTCCCCCCTATTTTTTCTCTTTCTTTTTTCTCCCCCCTTTTCTCTCAGATAGGAAAAATAAACTGCATAGATAAGTGCACACCCCTACCCTCAGAAACCTTGGCCCCCTCCCTGCCAGAGCCTGAAGCTGACTCCTGAAGAGAGGAGTAAGTCAGAACAAAGCTGCTTCCACTCCCTGGGGGTTGAGTAATTTACATGAGAAGAGGCTGCAGGTGGGAGCTACAAACATGCTGTCCCCGCCCCCACCTCTCCTGGGTGGCTGGGGAAGCAGAAGAGCTTTGGCTGCTGAGGCACAGAAAGGCCTACCAGCAGCTCTGAAATCTCCACCCCCACCTTCCAACAGCCCCAGTGGAAACAGCACCCGAAGAAGCACATCCAGTCCTCTGGCTGCGCAGAAATCAGAGTGCCTCTGGACAGGCAGGAACAGAAATAACACTGACTTTGTAAAAAAACTACCAATCACACCTCATAACTCCACTCATCTAAAATAGACCTGCATTACCAAGCTCACTCT